CATCCGAGACAGGGTGCTCTGCCATAAGCATTGATTTTGCATGCCTGAAAAGGCCAAGATAATGCCTGTGCATATTTGATGAACTTATCAAACATTGAAATACTTCATTGTGATTTATATCAATATTGAGGAAAATGGTAAAGAGAAGGGCTGTTAGCCGGGAAATTAGGGTAAACTTTTTTCTCTTTACAGATCTGATGTTTCAATCTTTCGCCTCATTTGTTCCATTCTCTCCCTTTTTTACTTTTATATGCACTCTCTTAAACTCTATGACTTTTTTTCCCCCGTTTGGTGGCTCTACACATCTGGATGAGTATTTAATTCTTTCCCATTAATGAGCTGAGCTTTGATGTGACACTTCTGATGCGTCAGAGTTCCTGGGAGGTCTTAACATCTGTCTACACTTCAAACAACATCTGCAGACAAGACAAACAACACCACCAGAGTGGGAACTCTCTGACGACCTCCAATAACCTTATTTTACATCATGAGTATTTCATCACGGAGCTACCACTGCGGCGCTGTCTCGTATTGAGCGCTGCATGATCAACAGCGGCGAGATGGGAGTTGACAATCAATGATCCCCATCATTTAAATCACAGCGTCTGTAATACCTGGCAAAGAAGCATCATGAATAAAAGACAAAGTGAAACCCAACATCTAATCATTTTGATATTGATACGAACTGAAGAAAGATCAGTCGCGTCATTTAAAATGATGACTCATTTACTTCTGTTTACGTCCATTTAGTGTACCGTCCAATTATTTAAACAGGTATCTCCTATGTAGTTAATTTTTCAACATGTTGTTTATTATGTGTGCTTTATGGTGTCAAGTCTAGCGTGAAATGGAGTGCAAATGCAAATGAAAACGTGACAATTAAGCCTTCAAAGCGGCATGTTTTTGATGGATTATTCCCTGACAGAGACCTCCATTTTCTCCAGTCGGTGGAAGGTGACCAGCAGCATGCAGAGCCTGACACTCACAAAGATGTTTGATGATTGCAGAGAGTGTTTACACCTCATGTTTACACAGTGACAACCCCACCAGCCCTGTTCATCAAATCAGAGCCAGAAATGTTCCCCAGTTCAATAACAGGCTGTTAAACACACACTGATACAAAAATACTCAACTCTGCTTAATTAACAGTTTGAGCTCTGATATTCACAGCTATCCTGAATATGTGAAAACACCAGCAGGAGGCACAGAAATGAGAAAGGAAGTCTAGGAAGTGATTGGCACAAACCTTAAAAATATATTTATTTTTAGAAAAAAAAATCTCACTTGCTGCAGCTTTAAAAACACTGTAGCCTGACTGCTTCACAAATGAGGCGTAAATGCTGCCAAAGGCTATTTACGCATCTTCATAAATACCACTGTGCTCCTGTAGATTACTCTAAAAGTGTGTGGGACCGAGCTGACAGAGGTTGCATGACGATGTAGCAACAGAAGCCTAATTTTAGCCAAGTGCAATACAGGTGTATGTGTGAAAGAAAATAATACGACCAGGTTAGAGAGGCTCTCTAGTGATTTACTATTTCACTACCATGTATTTGTTGGGAATCACTAGAGACAGATTTATTTTTAAGTGGTCAAACAGCAGAGGCCAAGAGATCCTGTCTGTTAGTGCTTATATAGGTCAAGCTGCAAAAACCATGCAGCCTACAATTCCCATAATGCAGTGTTTTTCAATGACTTGCAAAGTTGGAGGAGCTATTTGAGGCACCCCTGATTCCTGCGAAACAAAAATCAATGTTAGGTGACTGACAGGTGGCTTGAATGAAACTCTCCTGGTTGTATATACAACATGCATTTGCCTGTTCGATGGACTTTGCCATCACTGAGTGAATGTGTGTGAAAGGGTGAATGTGGCACGTAGTGTAAAAGCGCTTTGAGTGGTCGGAAGACTAGAAAGGCGCTA